TTCCCTAGTGGACACCGAGGGCTTGGCAAACCCGCGATCTCCAATAATGACGAAGGCAAATTTGTGGAGTGGTAAATGCGCTCGCGTATCCCACCGCGATCTTCGGTGAGTAGTTCAGAGGACTCCTGGAGTGGGTTGAGGATCAGGCGCAGCACCCGACGCTGATCACAATGGAAGCGTTAGAGGGCCAGATCGGGGATAGGATTGACGAGAACGACAATGTACCCGACTGGAAGGAGAAGGTTCGCCAGTTTTTCGTTGTCTTAGAGACTCGGGCGGAAGGCGAAAATTTCCCATCGTGATTAACACCCAGAAGGGCAACGGCGTCGAGGCAATGAGGAAGTTGATCAAACGATGGGACCCACCTTCAGGAGGGAAACGGCGGATACTATTCAAGCAGGTCATGAACCCACAGCGCGGCACCCTACGCGAAGCTCGAGGAAGGAGAGGAGCTCGTGTAACGGTGCGAGAAGACGGGGGCCGACGGGGTGGGCGAGAAGGTTGGCGACGATGTTAGGATGGCAGCTTTGGAAGCGAGGGTTTCAGAGAAGCTCGAGTTGCACGTGGCGATGGACAAGGCGCGACTTGACTCGACCGAGAAGGTGGCGGAGGATATCAGGTGCTTCCTGGAGTCGATACAGTCGCAGGAAGCGTTCATGCGGAAGCAGAACAACGACACGATGGGCGTGGACTCGATGTGTAAATGAGCTAGACACAGGAGAGGTAAAGCTCGAGGTGGAAAAGGCAAAGGACAGGGTTCCAACGGCAAAGGTCGAGAGAACGGTCGAAGTCCAGTTTGCTGATGGTGTGGCCTGCCTGGGCGCGAGTCGAGCGACTGCCGCGTGAAGCTGGCTGACGGCAAGGGCGGCAAGTGCAATGGGAAGGGCGGCGGAGGTAAGGATCACAAGGGCAAGGTAAGGTCCGACCAAGGGTGGTAAGCACAGAGGCGGCAGCTGGGGCTCCGACGCGTTCGACCAGAGTGGATGTCAGGCAGGCAGTCCGACTAGATAACCAGACGTGGAATGATGGCCGATCTTCGTTACCATTGTCAGCGTGCAAAGTTGGGGTGATGAGTCGCGAGGCTGGAAACTTCGAGGTTTGCACCCGAGAGCTCGACGGCGTAGACGCCCAGAAGGACCACGGAAGATGGCATCGATTCACGTTTGATTCAGGAGCTGCCGTGACGATGTTCCCCGTCGAACGAGCCGATTGCGACGAGGGGCCTTCTACCTGAAATTTACCAGCCGTTGGTGTCGGCGAGCCAAGTGCACGGTGCTGGGAGAGCGACCTTGTTGACGAGAGGAGGTGGGTACATCCTCCCCGGCAACTCGGACGTCATCAGGCGCGTCAGCGAGATGATTGAGGAGGTGGTTTGGTATGAGAAGGGCGCCTTTTCCCCTGCGCGTGGAGAATGGCGCCTGCATCGGCTGCGTCAAGAAAGAAGTAGGAGCTGCGAGCGGTGAGCGTGTTGTTCGGTTTGAAGGTGTGCCTGGAGGCGGAGGTGATTTCTGTCCGTCTGTTGATGGGTCTAGTCTGGGCCCGCGCTGGCAGGCTCGCCCGTGGGGCCGGAAATGCTTGGCGCCTGGGCTGAGAGCCCAGGCCGGGCGCCAGGTGCGAGACCAGACGATGGCCAGGAGGAGTTGCAGGCGCCCGCGGCGGCGCCGCCGCGAGTGGAGCAAATCTTCAGGGGGCCGAGTCAGATGGAGACTGAGACCCACGTCGCGTGTGGGCACACTGCTTTCCGCTCATGGTGCAAGAAGTGCGTCATGGCGGCAGGTTGCGGCGACCAGCGCGCTCAAGCAGCAGGGGGTCGCGAGAGCGAGGGTCCGGTCGCCGGCGTCGACTTTGCGTTCGTCGGTGTGAAAGTGGACATAATTTAGGATTCAGACTCAATCCCGATCTCGGTGGCCGCTGCGCGCCTCTACAAGGTGAAGGGGGCGACCGCCGTGAAGGACAGGACTGCGTCGGATTTCGTGGTCAAGTGGCTCGCGGGCCTGCTCGACCGCCTGCGCCGCCGGCGCATCCAGTTCAGGGCGACGGCGAGGCGAGCGTCTGTGCGGTCAAGAATGCCGTGATACAGTGGGCGCGCAGATCGAGCGCGCGCAGGTGGGGCGCCAAGGGCGAACGCAAGCGGAAAGAAGACGTGGGGCAGACGGCCAAGGAGGTGAAGCGGAACATCAGGGAAACTGATTTGCTTTGCAGCGCCACCTGGGCTGTGAGATTGCCGTGGGCCATCCGATCATCGGGTGGCTTCCTCCATTCGCAGCTGATTCGATCGCCGAGTTCAGGATTGGCGTCGACGGCTTGACTGGCGAGGCGAGGAGGAGCGGACGACCTTGGAGGAAGTTCGTGGCGCCGTTTGGGGGGCGTGTGTGTTTCCGGCCGCGTGGCATAGGAGATGCTGGCAGTACCCTGGCACCCAAGATGCGTCCTGGGCGCTTTGTGGGATATCATCTGGGGACTGGAACATTGCTTATCATGGCGCGCGCTGGTGTTGGCGGAGCTCAAGGCTTCAAGAGATTGCCCGAGGCTCAGGCGCGGGCAGTCGAGCGCTGGGGCCAGCTGCAGGGGTTGCCTTGGCAGTTCTCGCCTGATGTGGAGCTGGCAGGCCCTCGCGGGCCTTTGCATCTGCCTATTCAAAGACAGGGGGAGCACGACGTGGCCATCAGGAAGAGCTACGTGCTCAAGAGGGGCTTCGAGAAGTACGGTCAGACGCCTGGATGCCCCATCTGTCTCAAGTTGATGGCCGGTGGTTCGGCGAGGGCGACCTATTCGCAGGCGTGCCCTGGCCGGATCGCTGAGGGGTTGCTGAATGGCGAGGCCAGTCGTGTTCGACTGGTGGAGCACCATTTTCGCATGTGTGTTCGAGGAGAAGCGCAGGAAAGCGGTGCAGGACAGGGTGCGCCGACAGACGCCGCCGCCGAGGGCAGCGGAAGGGTCGCGGAAGGAGCCGGGCCAGTGCTGGTTCCAGCTGCACCAGTTCGGGCGGCAGCTGGGGGCGGAGTGGACCAACGCAGGATGGGCGCGGAGCACATGGGAGCTCGCGAGCGAGTTGCGCTTGAGCCGCGAGGGCGAGATCGACCAGCTCAGCCGCGAGCCGCTTCGACGCCGGGTCGGAAGCGGGCAGCGAGTGCAGAGCCAGGCCAGGTCAGGATGGCCGTGGGCGGCGAACCAGCGGACGCGCCGCGGCAGGCGGGGGCTGGGGCCGCATCCAGTAGTTCAGGCTCAGTGGCTGCAGCCCCGCGTCCAGAGGGGGCTGGGCGTTTAGGCGACGTGGGGGATCTGGTCGGGCCAGCGGTGTCAGCTGGCAGCAACGTGGACTTGGGCTCCTTCGGCGTGGTCAAGGGCCAGAAGTACTGGGATATCTCGGTGGTGGTGAGCACCGTGGACATGCTCGGCGACGACGAGATGACGCGTGACGAGATGAATGAGGTAGCGAAGACGCTGACAGAGATGAGCGGAGCTGACCTTGCGGAGATCTACTCCCCTGAGCGGTTCAAGCAAAGGGCGTTTGGGCTTGGCCGGACGGCCAGGCTCGCAGCATATTTCACCAGTGGGTGTTTTTTTTGACGAGAGGCAGCGCAGAACGTGTATGGATCAGTTGGATAGGGAGAGCCCGTTACTCACGAAGGTATGGGCTCCCTGCGCCATCTTCTGCTCGGTCCGAGCGCTAAGCAACGGCGAGCGGGATCCAGAGGTCGCGGCGCAGGAGATCCCAGAGTGCAAGACGCACCTGGAGTTTTCCATGCAAGTATGCGAACGAAGGTATCGACGGGGTGCTGTCTTTCTTTGCGAACACCCGTGGGCGGCTTCATCATGGGATCGACCCTGGGTGCAGCGCGTTCGTGCCCCACCTGGAGGTTGCGCGGTGCGAGGTCCTATGTGCCCATGGGGCTTGCGTCCCATCGATCCGATGGGCGCATGGCGTTTGTCCGCAAGGAGACTGGCTGGATGGCGAATTCGAGAATCTTGGCTGCGATACTGGAGGGCGAGTGCCAATGTCCTTGGGAAGGTGGAGAGCTGTACCGACATGTTTACTTGATTGGAGACAGACGTGCACGAGCAACACAAAAGTTTCCCAAGCAGCTGGTGAAGGCGATCCTGAAGGGACTTCGTGAAGAGCTTCGTCTACGAGAGTCACTGAGCGAGCTGGCTGAGTTTACTGCTGGACCTTCGCCGCACGAGCTGGATATCGACCAGGAGGCGGCAGCATGCGTGGACGACGTGCGCGGTGGCTTCCTGGACCTGCAGCGTATGAGAGAGGTGAAGCGTGAACCGTTGGAGTGGCGCAGGAGTCGAGACGTCTGTACCAAAGTACCCAGACGCGAAATGGAGTTGGAAGGAGGTCGACCGATCAACATGCGGTGGGTAGACACCAACAAAAGTGACCAGGAACGGCCGCTATACCGCTCGAGGCTGGTGGCGACAAAGATGAAGATGCGACGACGTGCTGAAGGTCTGGATCCTCCTACGAAGGACCTTTTCTCGGGCGCGCCGCCGGTGGAGGCGTTCAAGGCACTGGTTAATTAGCTTGTTCGCGAGAGGACGTACGAGCAGTATGGCAATGCATCGCCAAGAGAGATCGTGTACAAGTTCCACGGAGGAGGAGGAAAAGGATGAGGCAACTGATGCAGAGGAGGAGTAGGATTTGGATGAGGATGAGGATGAGGATGCGGATGGAGATGCTGATGATGCTGATGACGATGACGATGACGATGATGATGCTGATGATGATGATGATGATGACGATGATGATGATGATGATGATGATGATGATGATGATGATGATGATGATGATGATGATGATGATGATGATGATGATGATGAGGATGCTGATGCTGATGCTGATGCTGATGCTGATGCTGATGCTGATGCTGATGCTGATGGCGATGATGCTGATCATGATGATGAGGAGGAGGAGGAGGAAGAGGAGGTTCGAGGAAAAGGATCGAAGAGGAGGGTCGATGAGGGCGACGCGGCGCTGGTCGCGCGTCCCGCAGGTCGTGGTGCCGGACGTGGTCTGGAGCAGGACGCGGCCGCGCGTGCTGACGATGGGGTGGCTCAGCGGGCGGAAGGCGCGGCAGCTGAATGCCCAGGACGGGCGGGGCCACTTGAAGAGGGGAAGGGATGGGGAGGGGGGGCGGGGGGAGCAGGGTGCCTAGACCCCGTCGCGTCGTGACAAGAATCAACGGACACGTTTTTGTTTGTTTGTTCCCAGCAGCCTGTGTTGTTGGGTACTCGTTTTTAAATGACTGCGCCCCGCGTCCGTCCCCTCTCCTCTCCTCCTCTCTCCCCTCCTTCCTCCTCCCATCCCTTCTTCTGCTCTGCAGATGCCCTCCTCTCATTACCATCATGCGTACCCGAACGTGGTTCGGCACACCCCTTGCACATGTCGTGGCCCCATAAGGGGGACTCCACCGCAGGCCCCAGCGGTAGGATCTGCATGGCGTACCCGCATCCGATATCGACACACCACTCACGCGTTCCGTGGCCCCGGAGAGAGGTCCACCGAAGGTCCCAGCGGCTGGGTCCGCATGGCGCACCCGCAACTGATTCAGCATACCCCTCGCATGTTTCGTGGCCTCAAGGGAGCTCCACCGAAGGCTCCAGCGGCTGGGTCCGCGAGGCGTACCCGCACCCGATTCGGCACACCCCTCACACGTTTCGTGGCCCTATAAGGGAGCTCCACCCGAGGCGCCAGCGGCAGGGTCCGCATGGTGTACCCGCGCCCCAGTCAGCACGGAATGTCCACCGAATGCCCCAGTGGCAGGGTCTGCATGGCGTACCCGCGCCCGATTCAGCACCCTTTTACAAGTTTCGTGGCCCCTGAGGGAGGTCCACCGCAGGCCCCAGCGGCAGGGTGTCCATGGCGTACCCGGACCCGAGTCGGTACACCCTTCACACGTTTCGTGGCCCCATAGGGAGCTCCACCGAATGCCCCAGCAGCAGGGTCCGTACTTCATGTCGGCACACCCCTCACACCTCGCCCCTGCTTCTTCTGACTTGCCTCGCGGTACTCGCAGTTTCATATTGTTGGTCCCTTCGCCAGGATAACTGTTTCTTTTGTATTCGTGCTCATAGAGCCTGCGTCGGGCCCCAGGATCATCAAAAAGCGACTCCCATTGAAAAGCTGGTCCCCTGGAATGCGTCGAGACCTCCGGGGCAGGGGATGGCGTGGGATCGGGGGCGTCCAAAATTCGGGGGGGGGGGTCGGCTCGAGGTCAAAGTCTCAAAGTTTTTCGGACATCTTCATGGGCTCTCGGCGGTGTTCTGCCCTCGGGAGGTGCTCCCTCCTCCTCCTCCTCCTCCTCTTCCTCCTCCCTTTCCTCACCCCTCCTCCCCCTCCTCCCCCTCCTCCTCCTCCTCCTCCTCCTCCTCCTCCTCCTCCTCCTCCTCCTCCTCCTCCTCCTCCCAGCTGTCCGCTGCGCCTCGTCGAGAGCCTTCCCGGCGGTGCTCGGATGGTCCCGAACGGCCGCCAGAGGCCCGACCTGCGGCCCGACATCCGCCAGGCGCCGAAGAGGGGGGGGGTGAAGGAGGAGGAGGAGGAGGGGGAGGAGGAGGAGGGGGAGGAGGAGGAGGGGGAGAGGAGGAGGAGGAGGAGGAGGAGGACGAGGCGGAGGAGGAGGAGGAGGAGGAGAGGAGGAGGAGGAGGAGGAGGAGGAGGAGGAGGAGGAGGGTGGGGTGGATGTCATGACCGGGGCCATCTATGCCCCTCCAGACTTACTGACCCCCCCTCTCCTTTCAGCACGCCTCCTGGCCCCCGTCCTGGGCCGCGTGCGCGCCTCGGGCCACGGCCTGCTGCCCCCCTCCTGGAGCTCCCCCTCCGACACGCCCCCGAGGGTGGCGAGGCAGGGCGGGGACGGAGCAGGGCGAGGAGCCGGCGCAAGGCGAGTGGATTAGCGACGGCTTTCGGCTCCGTGCAGAGCTGGCGCGCTCCGTCGCCAGATCAGGCGGCACCGGCCTCGCGTGTCGGGGGTACCTTCCACGATCCGTGGATCTGGCGTCCACGCGCCAGATCCACGGATCCCTAATCCGTGTCAGTGTGCGCCCGGTAGCGGCCAGGCGGGCGCCTAAACCCAGGGAGGTGTTCCCACCCGATGCTGCCCTTTACGGGCCATTGCGATGTAGCATGATGTGTGGGGGAACCCCTTGGGAGGAGAAGGAGGGATTAGCAGCGGAGTAGCGTGGGAAGGGGGTGGGTAACGGGAACAGGGGAACAGGGGCACGGGGAGGATAAGGAGGAGTAGCAGCATGAGGGCGAGGGGAGTGGGAGCGAGGAGAGAGGGGCGGGGGGCGGGGCAGGAGGGATGGGAAGGAGGGCGACAGATGGGGGAGGAAGAGGGGAAGCGGAGGGGGACGGGAGGGAAGGGGGAGGGGTAGTGACACGAGGGTGCCAAGGACGACTGGAGCGACGCAGGAGACACGATGGCGGGGTCGGGGGCGGGATTCGACAGGGAACTTGTGAGCGCGAAGCGTTCGTGGGTGGCGCACCGAGGATAGGTACCGTGCAGCCTGGGGCTCTATCCAAGGGGATTCCACCCACCACCAGCTCGTTCTCTTGTGAAGTGGTACTCATTGAGGCGATCAGCACTGCTGCGTGTCCTGATTCGAGGCGCGCGCATCAAGCCTCTTGGCTGGCCTTGAGAGCGCCTCGCCCACGGTCCGCTGGGGCGCCCCAGACGTGGAGTGCAGGCGTTCTCAGGTTGCCGGATGCCAGGATCGGCGGTGGTGTTTTTCCCTGTGAGGGCTCCGGCCCAGGGTTCTCTTTCGGTCTGCGGGCCAAAGGCTTTCCACCAGAAGGATGCCGAGCAGCAGGCGTCGGAATTGGACACGTCAGAGTGCGCGTTTTGAGAGGGGGGGCTCCAACAGGAGTCTCGGCACGCGTGCGTTCGACAAGTGCGTTTACGCGTTTCTGGCCACGCCGGGGCCGCAGGCGAGGGACCCAACTGAGCCCGCCAGAGTTGGAAAACGCAAGCGGAGGGGGGGTTTCCAACATGCGTCCAGGCACGCGCGCGTTCGGCACGTGCTTTTCGATTTTTCTGGCCACGGCGGGGCCGCAGGGGAGGCATCCGACTCAGCCCGCCAGCTTGTGCGCGGAGGGAGGGCCCAACGTGCGCCTGGCGCGTGCGCGCGGGGCACGTCTTTTCACGCGTCCACGGCCCCCAGCGAGGGGCCCAACTTAGCCCGCCGGATTTTGAAACGTGACACTACGTGCGCGGAGGGGGGACCCAACATGCGCCTGGCGCGTGCGCGTTGCGCACGTACTTTCACGTGTCCACGGCTCCACAAAGTCTGTGCGCGCGGGGGGGGAGCCCCACATGCGTCTCGGTCGTGCGCGCGGGGCATGTGTTTTCACGTGTTCAGCATCCCCAGGGGGGGACCCAACTTGAGCGCGGGGGGGACGCAACATGCGCCTGGCGCCTGCGCGCGGGGCACGTGTTTTCAGGTGTCCACGGCCCCCAGGGGGGGGGCCAATTGGAGCTCGCCGGATGGGGAGGGCCCAACATGTGCATGGCGTGTGCTCGCGGGGGGCACGTATTTTCACGTGTCCGCGGCCCCCGTCAAAGTATGTGCGCGGAGGGGGGGGGGGGCCCACCATGGGTGGGCTCAACTTGGGCGCGGGTGGGGACCCCCCATGCGCCTGGCGCGTGCGCGCGGGGGCACGTGTTTTCGCGTGTCCGCGGGGCGTGCGCGCGGGGCACGTACTTTCACGCGTCCGCGGCCCCCATGAAGACGTGTGCGCGGCGCGTGCGCGCGGGGCCCGCACTTTCACACGTCTGCCGCTCCCGAGGGGGGGCAACTCAACTTGGGCGCGTGGGGGGCCCAGCATGCGCCTGGAGCGTGCACGCGGGGTATTCGTTTTCACGCCATCAGGGCCGCCAGGGGGGGACCCAGCTTGGGCGCGCCGGATTCTGTACACGCTGTCTCCAACCTAACATACTGCGCCAAGCAGGCACTCTCTGCCGAACGCAATGCACGACAGAAGCTTGGAGACGAGACTGAAAGTCTTCTTGCACAGAATTGGCCTCAGTAGTCGCTTGTGGGAGGACGTTGTACAACCGGATAGCGTGGAGGGGAGGGACCCAGCAGGCGCCTGGCGCCTGCGTGCGGGGACGTGCTTTCGGGTGCCGACGGCCCGCAGGGGGGGACTCAACCTGGGCCCGCGGGAGCCTTTATACACGCGAGAGTGCTGGCGTCCAGGGGGGAGTCCAACTGGAAGCGCGCCCGATTCTTGACGCGTGAAAATACGGGCGCGGAGGGGGGCGATTTAACCTGCGCCTGGCGCGTGCGCGCGGGGCACGTGTTTTCACGCGTCCACGGCCTCCAGGGGGGGGCCCCAACGCGGTCGCGCCGGATGCTTCACGCCCGAAATTGCGAGCGTGCGGGGGGGAGCCAATGTGGGCGCGCCAGATTCCCGACAAGATACGTGCGCGGAGGGGGGGATCTAGCATGCGCATGGCGATTGCGCGCGGGGTCATGTATTTTTTACGTCTTCGCGGCCTCCAGGGGGTGACCCAACTTGGGCGCGTCGGATTCTTGACAAGTGACTCCGTGCGTTATGCACCTGGCGCGCGAGCGGGTTAGGTATTTTTGCTCGTCCACAGCCTCCAGAGGGGGACCCAACTTGGGCGCGTCGGATTCTTGACAAGTGACAACACGTGCGCGGAGGGGGCCAACATGCGCCCGGCGCGCGCGCGGGTCACGTAGTTTTGCGCGTCCACTTCCTCCAGGGGGGGCGTAATTTGGGCGCGCCAGATTCTTGTCACGTGAAAGTGCGTGCGCGGAGGGGGGGGGGCCGAGCATGCGCTTGGCGCGCGCGCGGGGCAAGTATTTTCACGTGTCCACGGCCCCCAGATTCTCTGCACGTGAGAATCAAGTGCGCGGAGGGGGGGGCCAACCTGCGCCTGGCGCGTGCGCGCGGGGCACGGATTTTTAGGTGTCCGCGCTTCCCAGGGGGGACCAAACCTGGTCGCGTCGGATTCTTCACATGTGCACAGGCGTTGCCGTGCAGGAGGGAAATGGCGGTAGGGAGGAGGAGTGTGGAGGCAGGATTAAGATGACGAGGAAAAGGAAGGAGGAAGCAGGAGGTAGGAAGCAGGAATGAGGAGGGAGGAAGAGGAGGATGAGGAGGAGGAGGGGGAGGAGGAGGAGAAGGAGCAGGAGGATGAGGAGGAGGAGGAGGAGGAGGAGGAGGAGGAGGAGGAGGAGGAGGAGGAGGAGGAGAAGGAGGAGGATAGATTGGACGTGCAGGAGGTAGCGGTTGCAGCCAAGCAAAGGGAAGTGCTGCACGCGCGTCAGAAGAAAGTTTGGCTCAAGTTCCTTACCGGGTTCGTGGATCCCTCAAATTGTGGCCAGTTAGAGTCGCGCAGCACTCCTCCTCGCCTCGTGAAGCGGAGCATGGCTTGGGGTGATGACTAAGCCAAGTCTGTGCTAGTTTCGTCGTGCATTGGAGTCTTAAACAACCAGCAGAGTCTTCTGTGCCTTTGCTTGCCGTCGGGTGGCTTTCTCAGTTTCTGTGTGTTTGAGTTCTATTGCTAGTGGTCTTCCATTCTTTCATGTGCTTTCAACTTAAAACGACGGTCCGCCCGCCCTGTTTCTAGTTACATTTCCATTGCATTCCACATGTGATGTGAAAACCGCAAGGCCTTACAGCCGGTGCCGCCGACCCAGAAAGACGACGATGACCACGACGACGACCACGACGACAACGACAACGACGAGCTCATGACCCAGCCACAGGCTTGGGACATGGGGCGGGCGTCGGAGGGAGGCGGAGGAGGCGGAGGAGGCGGAGGAGGAGGAGGAGGAAGAGGAGGAGGAAGAGGAGGAGGAGGACAAGGAGGAGGAGGAGGAAGATGATGAGGAGGAGGAGGAGGAGGAGGAGGGACGAGGAGGTGAAAGAAGAGGAGGAGAAGAAGAGGAGGAGGAGGAGAAGGAGGAGGCGGAGGAGGAGGATCAGGAGGAGGAGGAGGAGGAGGAGGAGGAGGAGGAGGAGGAGGAGGAGGAGGAGGAGGAGAGCCGTCTGTCGCCTTGGGTGGGGGTCGCGACCCCCGAGTTCCCCCCGGGATCCAATCCTGTTCCCCCCCTCCTGCGACCTTCCCCCGGGACCACCCCACGGGTCCCTCCCAGGGATCCCCCAACGGCGGGGAATGGACGAAGGGAAGGGGCTTCCCTTCGACGTAATTGCGACAGTGTTCGATCCCACTTGTTTGTTGAATTTCCCTTCCGTACGACGACGATGATTCAAAGGAGGCTGGCGTACTTCAGTTTTGGTTGAGCTGGCCTCGCGTCGACGAGCCTCTCACACACGCCGACTGGGTCGGCGGATTTCAAATCGTCGCGCTTGCATCCTAAGAGCCACCTTGGGTACGTCAGTGTTTTTGTCAACGATGTTTTCTTCGCCGAAGCATCGTTTTGCGAACTTGCTATACGACTAACGTTCGTCTCTTTCCCAGCCCCGTTCCGTGGCGCTGACGGGTATTGCGCTCACCACTCCCTCAGGAGAAGCTTGCCATGGCCCGCGGCCCAGATGCGGGACGCCAGCGCATCCGCGGGAGGAGTGAAGAACGAGGAGGAGGGAGCAGAGGAGGAGCAAGGGTATGTGGGGGAGGAGGAGGGGTAATTATGTGGTTGAGGTCGGTCGGTGGGTCGGTCGAGGAACTCGAGTGCCTCGGTTTGCGGAGCTCTGCCTCGGGGTTGAGGGCGACAACTCAGGAGGGGAAAAAACACGCTGACATAATTAATCGCCGATCCCCAGGAAAACATGGAAAATATGGGAAGTGGGGGGGAAGACAGAAACCCAGAACATGGGAAAACATGGGGCATCTTTTTATTTGTGTGTCCTGGGGCCCCTTCAACAATGGCAACCCTCACCCCAGGGAGGAGGAGAGGGAAAAGGAGGGGGAGTTCTGCCCAGGCCCCAGCGTCGGGGTCGGAGGTCGGCTGCACTCGCCGGTGTCAAGGCCTTGCTCTCGTGCCCTGCTGACGGGCCGAAATCTGTGCCTGGTGTCGCCTCGACTTTCTTCCATCCTCGTTCTTCTTGTCCTCGGTCTTCTCATCCCAGCTCTGCCGTTTACTCCTGCTCGTCTCGTCATGTCCTCTCCTCTTTCTCCTCTTCCTCCTCCTCCTGATCGTCCTAGTTGTCCTCTTCGTCGAGGCCACCTCGCCAGCAACAGAACTGCCGGCTACTGCTACTACATTGAAGAGCGGCCTTGGGATGCAACGCCGCCCACCGCAGCTTTCTTGCACGCCCCTTGCCGGTCGGAGGATGAACCCAGGCGTCAGCAAGTGCCTACGCCCATGGGTCTGCCCGCCATAAACAACGCCTGCCACAGAGAACGCCTGAGAAAGGCCGCCCCGCCGATGCTACATTGATGGGCGGCCCTGGGTTGCAACGCTGCCAAGCGCAGCCCTGTCTCACCCCCTTTCCGCTCGGAGGAAGAACCTGTGCGATAGCGAAGCCAACGCCCGCGGGTCTGCCTGAATGCGAAAGAGCACGCTTGCCCAGCAGGCGCGAAGCCAATGCCCAAGCACGAGCTTCATTGCCAGAACTGCCAAGCCAGCATGACCCTCTTGTCAAGACGGCCCAGCCGAAGGTCCTTGTCAGCCATGCCGCAGGGTGATCCAGAGTGTCGGCGAGCCTGCACTCTCGGTTCAGTCCGAGAGTGGTCGAATTAGCCCCGACTGCCCGATGCTGATCGGGATCCGGAGCGCCGCTGCAGGGGATGAGGGGGGCCGATTCTGCCGGCGCCTGCCGGCGCCGATCCCCCTCTTGAGACGACCCGACACTGCCTGCTGTCGCACGCTGGGCGTCGCAGGCTTCCTCGCGAGCCCTGCCAGCCCAACGCCCCATTGTCCATGCCCCACAGCGAATGCAGCAGGGCGCCTGCCCGCCCTCCACGGGCGCTGGGCACCGTCAGGCGACGGGGGCCACCGTGGCGGAAGAGGAGTCCGTGGTGGCGGAGGGCGTATTGCCTCGCGACGCTGCTCGCCACGGTCGCCTCCCTCCACTCCGCCGATGCCGCCCGCGGGGCCGCCACTCCTCCGACTGCCACCGCCGTCGTGCTCCTCGCTGCTCTCCGCCTGAGGGCGAGGAGGAGGAGGAGGAGGAGGAGGAGGAGGAGGGAGGAGGAGGGGGAGGAGGGGGAGGAGGAGGAGGAGGAGGAGGAGGAGGAGGAGGAGGAGGAGGAGGGGGAGGAGGGGGAGGAGGAGGAGGATCTCGGGATGCGGGCCCGAGATGGGGCGCACCCACCTCGCACAGCTGCTGCAGGACCGTCTGGTGGCCTCGCCGATCTGTTG